AATGTTGTGTTTTATGTAGCAGTGTAAGTACTGATGTAAGGTAAGCTTAAATCGAGCTGCTCTTCAAATACTGCAACGCTTGTTTTCATGTATTGGCAAGCATTGCGGGCTTTAAATGACATTAGCTGGTGATAACTTTTCTAATAATAGCAACAAAATAATTTAATTGTTATTTAAAAATACAAGACAACCTGGATTTTTTCAAAGCTAGAATGCTTTCAAAAGTAAAGAAGAAAAAAATATGTTTGAGCCAGCCCTAGTAATGAGCATGTGTGCATTACCTTCGTACTGCTGGTGAGTAGCAAGCGTTCTGCTGGTGCCCAACAGCTGTGCTCTGTCAGGCTGAGGTTCTAGTGCTTTGTCTCTGACATGAGAAAAAAAAAAAAAAGAAACAACCCAAAAATGGGTACAAGAATAGAGCAATGTGATACTTTGGTATACTCTTCCCGTTATTGGCAGCCTTTGGTTTCGGAAACTTCTTGAGCCAGGAGTTGCATATGGAATGTAATCAAATAGTCCTTTTTGGACCTTTCTTCCGTCAATTTGTCGTGATTGCTTTTTGAGTCCATTTATACTTTTGGCCCACATCCCATGTAAATGAGTTTGTCTCGGTGGGGGGTGTATAGGGAAAACCCTGCTTTTAGTTTAGCCTTCTGTTTGATAACAGTGTTGCTGTATAACTCGTACTTGTGTAGCAAGCGGTGGGGAAGGAATAGTCTTTTTCTGCTCCCTTTCTCCAAGTGGTTTGTAATTTCTGTAGAGATGTTATGCCTTAGTTATCTTTTTCCAAAGCTGTGATTTCTAGTTCTACCTAATCTTTTTTTCTGTGTAAGATACAATACTTCGTGAGGTAGATCACGTGTCACGTTCGTATTACACCTTTTCCTCTTCTACCTTGTCTCCATTCAGGTTTTGTGTTTGCTGGGGATTTATACAGTCACTTGAATAAGTTAAAAATTATTAGGAAAGGAATGGAACAGAGAAATTCCTATTTTTCATCCCTAACTGGTGCTTCCCGCGTGCTGCTGTTTTGCCATTTTCTACTGCCTGACACTATCCTTATCTGTGGATTTTAATTCTCTCCACTTATGCTTATTCTGTGTTGTGCTCTGATTGCAGCACAAAAGTTTTAAATCAGTTCAGCTGTTCAGAAGTTTATTTCATATCAAAAGTTGTTGCCATATTTTTTTCCATAGTCCAGATTTGAAAACAGAATGTTAATTGACAGTATTCAATCTTCTGAACAAAAGAGTGAACTGACATTTTCTGTAGTAGCAGAAAATCAGAAAAACTGCCTTGGGAGTGTTGGGAAGGTTTACTGTGAACTGAGCACTGCAGTGAAAATAGTCTGCTGTTGCCTTCCTTGCTAGAACTCAGGAGGGAGTGTTGTGCATGCAGTAAGACTTGTTTGGTGGTTTTTTCTTACATGTACCACTGGTGTCTAAGTCCAAATTCAGTTTTGAGAAATATGCTTTATTATTAAATATATTAAGCTATTCTGTTCATTCTATAATAAATGGAAATTATAGGGATTTTAATTAAATTTGATCTTCTACATGAAATCTACCTCTGGGCATCAACAGTATGTATAAACTTTTAAGCAGTTTTACCTGCAGATGTAAGTGACTCTCTGGCTGTCTCCCAGGATGGTCCTTTTGGAGGAGAGAGGTGTGGGAAGTCGCTGTTGGAAAGTGGGAACCTTTCCTATGGTAACTTGTGCCGCAGATTAATGGGGCAAGGATTATCAAATGCTCATTGTGGCCGCAAAAAAATAGTGTGACCAGTAACTCTGAAATGCAACAATAGCAATACTTGGGATCTAAATGTGGCAATTTCTCTGTTTTTCCTCATCTCCTCATCTTTGACATCTGCTTGTTACATTTATAGAACTGTTTTGTGGAGACAGAGAAATGTTAAATTTAGGTTCACTTTACTGGGGATGTTGCTGAGTCACAAATACCTTTAACTGCTAAGAGCTGGGAGGAAGAAACATTGGCTATTTTGCTCATTGTTTAAAGCTTTTACTTACGATGCATTTTAGGGGCGTGTTCTATGAATTCCGATTTTGAGAGGTGCTGTTCCTGTGGATATGCAGAGGACAGCATTCCTACTAACCCACGTCGTATTTTGAAGTTCTTCATTCAGTGTTTAAAATCGTCCCACTGTGTGTGTCTATATATGTCTCGGTTTTGTCAGTGCTAATGCTGATGTCTCCGCATCTGAATCTCCCACTTTGCCCCAGATCAGGCTCTCTGTGTGATTTGGTGGCGACCATTTTCTCTCTCTCAGACCATCAGAGCAAGGTGCTGATGCTGCGCGCTCCCCGTGGGTAACCTCATGGTAGTTAATGCACTTGCATAGGGTCTGTGCGGTCTAAGTTTAGTTCCTTCTCTCCCAGGGAGAGTCAAACCTGCATTTCCAAGGAGCAGCAGCCAGCAGATAAGTGACTATTCTGGGACTGGAGCAGTCTCTGTGCCCTTCATTGAAATTCTGTGCTGTGGTTTTCTCCGAACAAACACTGAAACTTGCCTTAACAGCAGTCTCTCGCGATCCTCTGTGTCTCCAGTGGGAGCAGGGGAAGGCAGAGCGACAGTGTGGGGAAATGCTCCCAGCCTGGCGTCCCAGTCCTGCTTTATCCAACTGGGAATTGTGGGGTTTTGCCATCGTTCCTCCGACACGCTTGGAAGGGACTGCAGTAGCTGTGAGAGGGGTAAGGGTTAAGTCAGTCGGAAAGCTGGGAGATGGAAAAGCCAGAGATGGTGGCAGAGAGCTGGAGCCGAAGCAGGTGAAAGGTCAGAGCTGGCCTGTGTGGGCTGGAAACTTCTCGCCAGTGCAGGGAGATGGTGATCGCTGGGCAACACAGTGCCAATTAACTGTTTCTGTTCATAAACGCTTCTCGGTCAACAGAAACAAATCTGGCACTAACTCCCTAGAAGTAGCGGTGTCCCACCAGTCTCAGTTACCACAACACTTTGGGAAAAACTCAAAGTTCTCGACGGGGGCTAGGGGGGAGCTGACACCGACTTGGCATCGCACCCGGGAAGGTGTTCTGTGCAGGTGGGGGGTTTGCAAAAGCATCTTAGGCTGTGAGATGGACTGCAGGCACCTGCAACTCAAGAGACAGAACCTTGCAAGTGGGGATTTTTTTTCCTGCATGCTTACCTTTGTTAACACTGTTCAACTAATGCAGATCTAAAGATTTCTGTTAATAAAGGGATAAATGCTGCAAACAGGAATGAGAGCTGGCTTCTGGTCTAAATAGTTACTTCTGGTTACTAAATAGTTGTGTTTGTAACTTAAAGCTGCAGCTTGTAAATATATTCAGTTTTAGTCTTCTCTTGGTATTGTGAAGATATATTCTCTGCTTTATAAAAAGAAAGTAACAATCACTAAAGAATCATAAATATTTACATTTTGGGGAAACTGCACTTCAGAAACATGGTCACACAGTGACAACCGCGATGCTTCACTTGGAGTTCCTGTTCTGTGACACTCGTGCTAAGTTGCTGCTCACTTCCTTCCCCAATCTTCATTTCCACTGGGAAAGTTACTGTCCTTGTTGCGTGGTGCTGTTAAAGGACTGGAGAGGTGAAAGGTTCAAGTGTTAAGAAAAGATACGTGCAGTCCTGATAGCTTAAAGTATGCAAAAAAAAAATCAGTTCAGTAATGTGGAGGTTCATGTGAATAGCTGTGGAAAGAGAACTTCAGTTTTATTTTTTGTTTACTTCTGTAAACTGTAAAACCAAAAGATCAACACAGTGAGAAAAATGGTTTACTATAATGCACAGATTTTACTTGTGAATTAGATGGTGCTTACTGCTGAGAAATAACAATTGGCTGTCGGAAGCTATTTAGTATGGACGTAGTTAGATTCAAGACTGAAGTTTCAAAGTTACTTAACCACATATGTTTGGCTTGTTGCCATGAATGTGAAATTAAGTTTCCATAAAAACTGCAAAATGTGAAATTAAGCAGTCTTGGTAATCCTAAATTATATTTGAGAAATTTGAGAACTAGATCACTGTCCTTCCAGATTTTTTTTTTTCCAGAATCAGAGTACCAAACCTTGTCAGGACTTCTTAGCAAATGTGTGGCAAGTTCAAAAAGTGAGCTGATGCTGATGGAAAACTGCGTCTGCTTTACTGAGCCTGGTAGCTTGAAATCTGTGCAATGTCTTCAGCTGTCTTGCCACTGGGCTTTCCTGCTGGAGGTGACCATTGGGATGAAACTGTCTCCACGGAAGGTGCTCACTTACAGGAAATTTTCGAGAAATCTGTTGGATAGCTGTGTTGTGTAGCATCCAAGGAGATCATGCCAAAACCATGCTTTATAGCAACATGCTTTTTGGAGCTTACCAGTTTGGTATTGCTGTCTTTTTTTACCTAAAAGTTTAACTAGTTGGTGGATGCATACAGCTCTTGAAGTTACCAAGCTTCTGCAGTTTTGGATGCTCAATATACTTTGCTTCACCAGAATATACAGTATGTTCTTTCAGCGATTTTTTTTTTTTTTTTTTTTTCTTTCCTTAAAAGCTCTTCTGATCTCCCCATGCTTGAGAAAGCTAGTATGTCCTTTTTGGTATCTGAAACCCAAATGCGAAGAAAAAGATGGAAGAATATGGTTTCAGGCATGGTGTTACTCTTATAGCTGTGAGGATCATATATTAGTTCCCAGACGCTTTTATGCATTTGAAGTTTACTTTTATTATCTGTTGGTAGTATTGCTTGTTGCAACTAGCTGTTGCTGCTAGTATTTCTTTCCACCTGGAGAAATATATTGTGGCTAAGTTGTTTATACAAGCAAGCTCTTTCTGTCTTATTTCTGTTGGAGATGTTGCGATAAACAATGTTTATGATTCACCTCAGTAGTGTCAAAAAAAAAAAATCTTCAAGTACCTCTCAGTCCTTGCTGTTCTACATTTTAATCTTTTTGTCACTGATTCAGTCCTTGCTGTTCTACATTTTAATCTTTTTGTCACTGACTTTATCTGAATCATTCTTTAGGGCTGCAGGGTTCTGGTTGATGCACGGGACAAGCTGGGGATCCCTTGGCAGTACACCGAGAATGAGAAGCACGGAATGTTTTTGATGGCTTTTGAAAACAAAGCTGGAATGCCCATAGAGCCTGCCACCTTCCAGCTGTACGTACCTGCACTGGGCGCGCTCTGGAGGGATTCGGGGATCAAGGAAGCCTTCAGCCGGCGGAGCGAGTATCAACTGGTGAGTATGTCCATCTTCACAGTCGGGGGGGAAGTTCCCTGCTGTATAAATATCTCTTCAGTTGAAAGATTGCTTGCTGTGTGCAAGATTCAGCCATGATATGAGCCGTTTGTAGTAATGCTGTAAATCTGAGCACTTCAGCAGCAGAAACAAGCGGTAATTTGAGCCAAACTTGAAAAACTACATGGCAGTGAGAGGGAGTGGAAAAGTGCACATGACTGGATAAACTGGAAGAGCAAGAGGAACCAAAAAAGGCAGGAATTGGTTGAACTAAAAATATTGTAGCAGCTCAGTAGGTCTGTTCATAGTAGGTCACTGATGAAGGCACACTTAATTTCTAACTTTCCAGTCCTGCCAGCTTGCACTATATTGATACTGGCAAACTATTCCTGCATGCAGATCTTTCGAAGTGAATGCAACACCCATTCCGGCTGCTGCTCTTTGGCTGTTTCTTTTCATCCTGACGTCTGCAAGTGAAGCTTGGATAAGCAACTGAAAGATGACAGTGAGCTTAAAAATGTGCGATCTTTCTTGCTCTCTTGCTATTAGGTTTTCAGGCTCTCATGCCAAAATAGCTGCACTTCTGGTATGGAAGAAGTTTGACAGCTGTTCACAAACCACTACTTTTGCTTCCTGTGGTACAAGATGGAGATTCTTTTTTCTCTGTTTCTTCTCTGTTCAGTGAAACCAAGGTACTGATCCATGCAGCTAGTACCACAGTTACTAGTTCTTGGACATGATATGGGATGATATCCTAATTGCGCTAATAAATGTATCTTTATGATTTTATCTTTAATCATGTTTTAATCTACAAGTAGAATTCTTTGTTTTGGGTGTTCTGTCCCTAAACTCCATTCTGCTTTTTATTTTTTTTAAGAGGCAGTTAAATGTGAAATTCTTCATGCCTGGATATGTTATCAATGTTTAATTAGAGGAGTTAGGTAGAGGTTAGAAACGTGGCTTTCTATAGTCTCCGTTAGACTCTTACAAAGGATCTCAATATAGGTATAGAAAAAACTAGACAAATTCGGCAGTGCAATACTTGTAGTTTGTTTCCTCATGCTGCTTCTCTGCGTGGGTTCTCTAGTGTCTAATACTGTAGTTAAACTCATGTTGCAGCCCTAAGGTACTCAGTCTCCACTAATAAGATGTCTTTTAGTGTCTTGTTGCATCTTTGAAATCTGTCTCTGAAGTATCTTGAGACTGGTAAATGGCTAAAGAATAAATAAAATGACTTGGTAAAATTGTCACAGGATGATTGTGTAAACCTGATTTCCTTAGGTTAAGAATGTATCAATTTCCATGTTGCAGTATTGAGGAAGGGGGGAAGGACGTGCAGGGGGGAGAGAGGATGGATTAGTTGATTCATAATTCCTAGTGTCTGTAGACATAGACTAAGACTTTGCAGTTCTAAGCACTGTTCAAACATGGAATAAAAAGATGGTTCATGCCACAGGGAACATGAATTTAACATGAGACAACGACTAAGAGAATCCAGTATAATAAGCATGCATTTTGTTTTTAAGGGGAGATTCAGGTTGGGATCATGTGGGAGGTTCATTCCTCAACTGGTTAGCAATAAAATTGCATCAAACTGGAAGAAAAAAGCCAATTTTGTTGAATAAATAGCATTCCAAGACTAGTAGGCCTACCTCTGCATTCTCTGGCTTTGAGGATTAAACAGGAAATACCAAAAAATAAAAAATCCCCACAAAACCCAAGCATACAGGCATGCAAGTCATCATTTAATATGCTGTCATCTTCAATGTCATGGTAGAGTTCTATCATACATCTTCTTGGATGGCGTTCATACAACCTTTTTAAAGTTACTGGGACAACTGAGAAACTCGTGCAGGCACCAGAACTTTTATCTTGTCAATAGTGCAACAATGTGGTGTACTACAGAAACAGTGTAACTCGGTCCTGCAGGCTCCATCACCAGGAGATAATAAAGTATCTCAATTGTAAATAAAAAGCACTTAGATTTAAAAAGCTTTTATGAAGTAATAGGTTTTTCTCAGGGATACAAATGCTAGTTCAGCAGAAGTCTGATTCCCTGAGTATATGGGGATTAGCAGCAGTACGATTTCTTTTTAACACCACTACCACCACCACCACCCCCCCCCAAAAAAAAACCCCACAACCAAACAAGCTTAAAACTGCATAACTTTTTAAAGAAAGCAGGTGATTTAAGGAGATGCCGTATTTATACTTGCGTATGATATGTATAAACCCATACCTTCATTTAGTTTAAACCCTTGCTGGATATAGACTCATGTAAATAAATAGAAGCCAGATATAGTGAACTCTGAGAAAATAAATCATCTCTGAATTGATTTTAGCTAAGGCTAAAGAAAACCTCTGTATCAGCAGTCTCTTTCTTATTTAGTATAAATGAGCTATTAAATGGAATGTGCTTGGTTTGAACTGAATTTATTATCTTTATCATAGTTTTAAAATCGTCACCAAAATTTGAAGCTTTACATTACTATGGTCTTTCTGAATGTTTCTGGGCAACGTTTGCAATAACGACCTTGCTTAGCACTTGCATTTTCTTCATTCTCGTCTTACTGTCAAGTGAACACTAGCTCTTTTTTCTATTATTGTTATTATTTTGCCTTCTAAGCCATAAGCTTATACTGGTCTGTTTTTGAACTCTATATTTCTCCAGGAAGTTGTGTGACTTTGTTTAAAAATATAGAGTAAAACGTGTTGGTTGCTTAACTAGTGCTGAAAATTGCAGTGTACAGGTGTCTACCTATGGTCTGTAATGCCAAGCTTAATGACTGACTTGGCAGTAGCAAACTTGTTGAAAGAAAATGGCTCTGACCATAACCTCATGCGATCTGAAAGCTTCTTCTCTGGGACCGCAGAAGCTGCCTCTGGGCATTTGAGTGTTTTCTGCTTCATATTCAGTGCCTAGAAATGCTGGCTGTAAATCCCTGTCTGGGTCTTTGAGCCTTTCAGAAGTGAGTGGGTGGATTCTACAATAGCAGGGTGCTTGCTTGCTTTTTTGCTTCGCTGTCTTTCTTAAAGCAGACTAACCAATTTCGCTTTCTTCTCACAAACATCAGCCCCTCGATCTTCCCCCGCCTCAGCCTGTCCCCACCGCCCCAAGTTGCTCTGTTCTTGTATGCAAGCCAAGTAGTTTGGGGACAAAAGCTTCATTGTGTGTTTGGTTACATTGTCACGTCTGTGTCCTCGTTTTTTAACTACTAGAATAGGAATTCCTTTGTAATCAGTATGTGATTCTTCTCCCTTCTCCCTTGGCCTCATTATCCTACCCCATTTTCTGTCTGTATGTTAGAAAGGAATACATTTGTCACGTGCCTTCAATGGCGTGTAACGTTTGCTCTTTTGAGGTTGCCTGTGGTAGTCTGGGCTGTTAAGTCTTCCTTGTCAGCAGGTGGAGACAAATCCTACTTCGAGTGGCTTCCGCGGAGAAAGGACCTTGGGACTTCAACTAGGATTTAGTTGAAGGGGTGGAAGCTTCTTCAGTTTGAGCCTAGTAACAAGTATGTAGGTATACTTGGGAGTTCAGGTGCACATAGAAGAATCTGCAAGGTTTTTTGCACCCATAAGTGATGTTTCCTTTTATGTCATCAATCATGGAGACTAGGCCAACATAGGAATTGCTTTGGTCAGGTGGTTTTTGTTTTCTTGGGTTTTTTTTCTTCCTCCCAGGTCGCTAGTTGGGAGAACGTGAGAAGCCGTTCACTTTTGTTTTAATGTGTCCAGAACAAACATAAAATCTGAGGTGAGGTTAGCTACTTTTTTTACTTTTTGCAGCTTGGAATGCTTCATGTCCTTTGGGGTAAAGATGGGACAAATAGGGCTTGTCAGGCAAGGAAATGATACTTTTGTCACAGTCAGAACAGATATATATTGTGCACTAGCACTGTTACAGAGTTTAAGTTAACAATGAGCAAATCTGCAAAGGCCATCATCTGGCTTCGTCAATTCTTGAGAAAAATTGACATTGTTTTATCAGATTGGGTTTTTTAAACAGAAACAGTGTTTTTTTGTTTTTTTTAAACCTCTGTCCTAACTATTTCTACTCACAGTAGTATCTTTATTTGAATGATTCTTACTGCTTCCCTTCAAAATACGAAGTCTTTCTAGCCTGTAGTTATGTATTTCAAGAGCTCCTGAACTTCTCCTGTGGTACAAATCATATTCTCATCTCTTCAGGGTCGACGGGGCTATTTACTCTCAACTCCAAAGCCTATTTGCAGTAAAGGCAACTGTGCTGCGTTATTCACATGCAGCCAGAGTAGCTTCTGACTTGTGTTTACAACTCCCGCCCTTCTGCATACAGAAAAGATCATGGCTATCCAAGGAGGCTGCAAAAGGCATTGGTTTTAATGCAGTTATTCTTAATATACAGAATATATTCATGATCCATCACTAAAGTATCAATTTAAATTTAATTATTATTGGTGTATTTATTATTATTTATGTTCACTGCACTGTTGAAAAAAATATTCTAATGTTTTAATAGCTCCTTTAAAAAAAAAAAAGTCAGCGTTAATGGGAAGTAGAGGTTCCTGAGAGGGGAAGTAAGGGGCTTGGAAATAGAGACAAAAACTTACTACTGTGTCCATAGCTATTTTTAGATCTCTGCACGGGGAATTGTGTGGAACACTTCCAGTAATACTTCAAATACGAAGAGCCTCTGAAGCCTTGGATGTGGGAAGACTCTGGAAAATGTTTTAAAGACTGTTTCTTTTATATTGATTCACAATTCTCTGGGTGTTTTGAGGTGGGGGGGTTCTGGGGATATTTGTAATAGGACACAAGTCACTCCCCTACGAATTAACTGTATAGTTTTTTTTCCCCTCTAAGCAGACACTCAAAATAAATTGAAGCAGTTAAATTACGCCTGCCAGAACAGATAGTGCGCTGGAATGTTGCGTAGTGAACAGCCTGCTCATTGCATTAGTATAGCTTCGTGCTACGTTCTCCTTACGCAAGGAGCTGATGGCTTCAGAGCCTTGTAG